ATGACCCTCAAGCAGAATTGGACCTGTAAAACAAAAAATCACTTCGAATTCTGATTTTGTAGAGGGCCCTTCTCTCTATAAAAACAAGTAGATTCTGTAAACTAGAAACTTCACAATTACAATCCAACATAGATAAACAAAACAGACAAGAAGTTACACTGCACAGAACATTGCAGATTTTACCTCTTCGTCCAACAGCAGGAGAAGATTATAATTCTAAACTAAAGCCCCAGAATTTATAGTTAAGAACTTGGAATTGTAAGCTCTTGACAGATGGTCCTGCATCAAAATGGATCAAAAGGATTGAAACTAGCAGCAAACAAAATGGATATAAATATTAACTCGATTAAACAGAAACATTATAAGTTGGCCAAGGATTTGAAGGTTTAAAGAGTTGAAGTTGGTGCCTTGTAAGGATCCATGATGTCTGCAAGAGAGAAAAGGAGGGAGCTAACTTTGCATGTAAGAGAAATATAGAGTGATCGATGAAAGATTACTCTCCACATTCATTTATTCTTATTCTTTGCAAATTTGATGGTTTCCATTTTAAGAGGAACTCAGACATGAAAGATCAAGTCTTTCGCATTCATTTTTGTCCTGCTGTCTGTTTAGCTCAGCATGTTCCATCCTTAAGCAGTTGCGTGTGGTTGTTCCGAGTTTTCCCAACATGATGCTGGAGAGAGATTAAGAATCTACTCTTCAGTGTCCTCGTTGGTTCATCACTGGGGTTCTGGCTTCACTGGTAGCAATACTCTCCCTTCGAGGAGAGGCTGTGGGTTCGATTCTTCAAAGGCGAGTACACACCATTTCCTAGGCCCCCCCTCACCAACAAAATAAAATCAGTTATAGTTGGGATTGGTGCGTATGCTTGTGGTGGTTTTTGTATACCTGAATTTCCAAAGATTTCATCACCGAAAAGAAACAATTTCCAAAGATTTGATTTCAACTTTAAACTGTGATTAAGAGTTGCCACAATGTAGCACATTGGCAGAACAGTGATAAATTGCAGACTGCAGGGCCAGCTCCGGCAACTGTCTAGCTAGCACTCCCTTCTTTTTTTCTTTCAATGTCCCGGATGATGTTTTGAATTAACACTGGTCAAGACTGGTGACTCATTCTTCTTTTTTCTTCCAATATCCCGGATGATGTCTTGATTTAACACTGGTCAAGACTGGTGACTCATTTTGCACCTGATACTTTCCCTACAAGATTTGATACCCTCGTGTCATCTGTGACAAAGCGGCAAAGAAAAAAAACAAAACAAAAAACACAGCAAATTTAGAGGGTAAACTGATATGAAAGGAGGCCTGACTGAAGAGCATAGGAAATCTACTCATCCCTTGGAAATCTATAGAGAACACAGCAGGGATTTTTATTGTAAACCACCTGTTATTACAGAAACCTTCATATGACACAATATAACATTTTGTTACAAAGACTCTTCAACCATTACATAAAGAAGTCACAAAACAGCATTAAACCCAGTATACAAAGGTACAGCAATCAAATGGAAAAATGTCGCCATTTGAGTCCTTGAAAAAAAATATTTTTGCTTTCTTTACGCTTCTCAGCACCAGAAACATCTTCAAATGCCTGGCCTCATATTGAGGTGAGAAGCAAGCTTCTGACCCAGAGACTTGTCAGCCTGTAACCAAACAAAATAATGTAGTAATAATTGGTTTCTGCCATCTGAAAACTAAAATGAACTATAGCGATGCAACTATATAATCAGCTTAACATCAACCAAAAAAGTAGATGGCAACACAGAACTCATGCATTTTATAAATAGTGAAATATATTCATTCATCCAATCAGGAGATTGATACGAGTATAAATGTTTGTACGGGGATGGAAACTTCACCTGAGACCAGTATGATATCCAAATACTGCGAATTTCATATGTAACCCTTGGGTCAGACAAGGCCTCAACCCAACGGCGAACAAAGCGCTCTTTCCTGAAAAAGTAAATCAAAAAGGAAAATTAAAGAGCAAAGGACTTAGTTGTTATATTGGAATCTAAAAAAAGATGAATGTCTCAGAAATCACAAGATAAGGGTACCTGTCTGGTGAAAATGAACGGTATCTCTCGCCAGGCTGCTTGAAGTTATTCTCCTTCTCAATTATGCACTGTGATAATGAAGACAGACGGACAGCACAGAATTATGCAAAGATAAATTAGTTCAGTGGGATAATTAAGAGCTAACACTCTTGATACAGATAAAGCAACCCAGAGTATCATGAAAGCATCAGTTCAGTTGCAGGGTTAGAAGGTATCGCGGAATACATTTTCACTGGCTCTCTGAAACCGCAGCTCAATTCTAACCCAAAACTAGCATACTTACCACCCTTCAATATTCAAAACACTGAAGCAAATAGAGATACAAACCTTCTCACGCTTGCCAGTGTGAATGACAGAAGGATTAGGGTATCTCTCAGCATGACGGACAGGATCAAACCTTGAGGGGAAGTAATTGACCTAAAAACAAGCCCTTATCAGATAATGATCCTAGGATAGCATTAAGTCCAAAAAAGTAGCATATACATGAGCTCAGAGAGAGAAAGAGAGAGAGAGAGAGAGAGTATACCTCCTCGTCCCTATGCATAAAATTCATGAAACCTTCATGGTGATTGTTGTGATGAGCACACTTTGGAGCATTTGCTGGAAGCTGGAGATAATTTGGCCCGAGGCGGTGCCTCTGAGTATCAGCATACGAGAAGATTCTAGTTTGCAGCAACTTATCATCCGAATAGTAGATACCAGGCACTATAATAGCAGGGCAAAATGCTAGCTGCTCGTTCTCCGCAAAGAAGTTATCAATATTCTTGTTCAACACCAAGCGGCCCACAGGCATCAAAGGCAAGATGTCTTCAGGCCAAGTCTTGGTTACATCAAGTGGATCAAAGTCAAACTTGTCTTCATCAGCAGGATCAATTATTTGAATGAAAAGCTTCCACTCAGGGTAGTTTCCAGCCCTGATGGAGTCATAGAGATCCTGTGTGGCATGACTGTGATTGGATCCACCAACTTTTATGGCCTCGTCTTCCAATAAAGACTTGACACCACAAGTTGGTTTCCAGTGAAATTTCACATAATATGCCTTCCCAGCCTTGTTGATTAGAGTATAGGTGTTAACACCAGAGCCTTCCATGTGCCTGTAATCTTGTGGAACACCAATGTCATCAAACAGGAAGGAGAACATGTGCAAGCTCTCGGGATGGTGTGAGAAGAAGTCAAGTATCCTCCAGTTTTCCTGAATGTGTGATTTAGGGTTGGGCTTGAGAGCATGAACCATATCAGGGAACTTCATCCCATCACGAATGAAGAAGACTGGGAAATTGTTGCCGACCAGATCAAAATTTCCCTGGTGAGAGTGGTGAAACAGAATTCATTGAACCTTTCAGTCAATAACTTCAAATGCACAGTCAATTCCAATTTTACAATGGGAAGCATGTTACTATGATATGCATTGATCAGGTTTTCCGTCATGTATTGATAAACAAACACATCATAAGCAACACCCTCCGCATGCATTAAGCATGTCATATTGATAGAATCTCACAATGAATTGAGGGGGGGGGGGGGTGCATCCTTTTAAAATTTAAAGATGAAAAGGCAAGATAACAGCAAGAACATTATTAGTTATTGATGCAACATAAATGAGCCAACAGATATAAGATACCACTTACCTACTGTGATTTTTCAGTACAAAGAGGAAGAGAAAAAACAAGAAGAAGTCCTTGAACAAAAAACAAAAAAAATATTGTTACCTCTCTAGTGTAGAATTTCACAGCAAAACCTCTGGGGTCTCTTAGAGTTTCAGGACTGCCGAGTTCATGGATAACAGTAGAAAACCTGACAATAACAGGGGTCTTGACTCCAGGGGCTCTAAGGAAATCAGCACAAGTGAGATGAGATATATCATTGGTCACTTCAAAAAACCCTTTAGCACTCGCACCTCTAGCATGAACAACACGTTCTGGGATTCTTTCCCTGTCAAAATTAGCAAGTTTCTCCACCAAATGATAGTCCTCAAGCAGAATGGGACCTTCAAAAGAGAAGTTCTACTTCAAACTCTGAGATTTGCATAGTATTCACAAACTAACTTGGTTTCAATGCATCGCAAGTAAGCTGAATTAGAAACTACAAAACCCAAATCAACCAAAAGGTGTAAAAATACCTCACTAAAGCTCAAGCAATCACCTAAAGCACTCTATAATGAACTCAGACATTATTCATTTATTCTTATTCTTTGCAAATTTGATGGTTTCCATTTTAAGAGGAACTCAGACATGAAAGATCAAGTCTTTCGCATTCATTTTTGTCCTGCTGTCTGTTTAGCTCAGCATGTTCCATCCTTAAGCAGTTGCGTGGTTCATTGAGCAAGTAATTGCCTATGATGCTGGAGAGAGATTAAGAATCTACTCTTCAGTGTCCTCGTTGGTTCATCACTGGGGTTCTGGCTTCACTGGTAGCAATACTCTCCCTTCGAGGAGAGGCTGTGGGTTCGATTCTTCAAAGGCGAGTACACACCATTTCCTAGGCCCCCCCTCACCAACAAAATAAAATCAGTTATAGTTGGGATTGGTGCGTATGCTTGTGGTGGTTTTTGTATACCTGAATTTCCAAAGATTTCATCACCGAAAAGTAACAATTTCCAAAGATTTGATTTCAACTTTAAACTGTGATTAAGAGTTGCCACAATGTAGCACATTGGCAGAACAGTGATAAATTGCAGACTGCAGGGCCAGCTCCGGCAACTGTCTAGCTAGCACTCTTCTTTTTTCTTCCAATATCCCGGATGATGTCTTGATTTAACACTGGTCAAGACTGGTGACTCATTTTGCACCTGATACTTTCCCTA